ACGCTCTTGCGCGTCATGACCCTTACGTCCTCGTCGACGTTGCCGGGGCTGAGCTTGTTCCACTTGTGCACGGTGGAGGCGCACACGCCGGCGCAGAAGTTGTTCGTCATGCGTTGCGCTAGCTTCAGCATGCTGCGCCTTCCACCCGCTGTTATTGCTGCATACAATTTTCATTCATTTACCTTAACTCACTCTTCAAAATATATCTATAAAAGGAAATTAGTTTTCGTTTTTAACTTAAGATTCTACATGCCCTCGCCCATGGGGAAGTCATTAGTATCACAGTTACAGTTTTATCACATCCACAACTTATCTACATTATTTTCACTATTAAACAAAAAATATTATCTTACTTATTTATTTCAAACAATGTTCTTCTTATCTTTATTTATAAATTGAATTTTAATATTTTGATTTGAAAACAATACTGTATAATACTTTAAATTATTCTTTATAAATCTAAATATATATTATATATTTTAATTATAATATGATTTACATGTTAAAAATGCTTATTCACCATATTTTTTCATTTTAGAAACGTTGATCCTTTTTTTACCTTCTACAATGTTCAAACTAAAATACTAGAAAAGTGTAATTGAAATTATTTAGAAAAAAATACTTATTAATCAAACCTTATTGTTTTCTTTTTCATCTCACTTTTCATTAAATTTTCATCTCTTTTTTACATCACACTATTTTTTCATCTCTTTCTTCTTTTCCACTCGCAGCCTACCTAATTTGGGGAGGACAAACATCATTACTCAATTATGTATACAGATAAAAATGAATACAACAAATATTATTTCACTAAATTATAAAGATGAATTGTCACTTGCTTATTCTGTTGTACTAAACCTGTACTGTTATGTTTGCACGTGATTGTGGAATTTTGAAATAAGCTTATCTAAACCACGCATTAATAATTAAAAACGAGTTATCAGTTTCGAATAGTACCGGAATGGTCTCTAGAGGGTGCTGCTGAGGACATTAAAATGGCAAGGCACTCGCATTGACGTTGAAGGGTAGCGACCCAACGTTGGGAACCAAACCCCATGCCTGAACTCAACAATGGTCTATAGAGCTGGTGAACTTGGCTCTCATCATATTCTGCATGCTCCACCCATGTCACCTACCATTTCATCATACCATATCCATGTCAAAATGCCATGCCATACATGTACTATTAAAGTACCATGCCAAAACATTTTCCGAGCATTATTATTAGTGTTGTGATTCAACACAAGAGAACTCAGGATTAATTAAGATTTAATTTAAGTGCATTAAGTTGACTAAAGTGTGTAGAAACTATAGAAAAAAAATGGGGTTCAGAATTCATTCTACATAGTTGAGGGAGTGAAAGAAAAATAAAAAATGTACATATGTTTGTTTATGTTGATGTTGATGCCGTCAGTAGATGATAGAAAAATGTGTAAAAGCAAATCTTAGAAAAGCCTGAAGACTGGGCTAAGAGACAGACATAGGTATCTCTATCTCATGGACCTCGACAAGTACATAAAATATTGGTGCTACATAAAGTCAAGCAGTATTTACAGGATCAATGGGCACTGTGAAGCATCGAGATTTACCCCCAAAACAAAATCTCAGAAGAAGCAGACAAAGTACTCAGTCTCTGATTTTTGACTCCAAGGCTCTCGATTCAATATTATTATTATATTTAACAGCCCTATCAGATCATAGGTCTGGAACTACTTGGCCACATTCGATCCCGTGAATTTAATAATGGTCAAGGAAAATTATCAATACATATAACGTCAAAGATTGGAATAGAAACATCATATATATTGTTTATAGAATCAAAGAGTACGTGCAAGATTACAAGGCAAATTTCTTACAAATGGATATCTAATTAATGTGTTCAAGGTACATATATTTGAGGGATCGAGACTTTCATGAATAAATTAATGGATTGATCTAGATTTTATACCACATAGGGAATACTCTATTACAAAACCTAAACTATTACTATATTATAAGATAGCTGTACATATATAGATATAAAAAATTATTAATATAGATGTATATTTTAATTAAAAGTTAAAACACCTCTATTTAATTATTGAATGATAAAGATGATTAGATTTTCTTTTTTGACAATTGTTAATTTTCTAAATGATAATAATTAAAAAAAGTCTAGGATTATGCCGTTCAAATAGTTTACGGGATTGAAGACCAGTTGTTGAAAACTCTAGTTTGGAATATACTAATTGCTGATTGAGACAAGGAGAAGCATCTTACTCAGGTGCAATGCGATTATATAGTAAATTCTTTGAAAAGTGGAATATATTTTATATGGAAATAATCACAGACAGAGTAGTATTATAGTGAGTTGTCAATAGGGTAGCTAAGTTACTTAGAAACAGGAGCTCTTTAATAGCTTCGAAAAGCAAAGCCCCGTGATTCCTTGGCATGGTGTTTTGTTTCACTTGAATATTCTCCGCTCAAGCTCTTAGGATCCAGGAACTAACTTGAACAAATGTGAATAAAAACGAAAAGGGAAAGATACCCACTTCGGAAATCATAATCAATTCAATTCAAGAAAAACATGGTTTGGTAAGTTCAGTGGCTGCATGGTCATAATATCCTTCCCCCCCACCTTCTGAATATATAAAAGAAATGTTCGGAACACAAAGTATGGAGAACGTAAATCATTTTTTACAGTCCTCAAAAAGATTAGGAATCTAAAACAAATATCATATCTTGACACACAACTTTTACCACTAACCATTTTATACTAAAGGATATAGACATACAGTACAAATATTATATCATAATCTTGATCTTCTCATGGAGAGCAAGGTAGCCAAATCCAAACAAACATAGAATTAGAATCACATCTCACACTAAAAACTAGAAAGTTTTATTAGTTACCTTGGAGTAACCATTGGGCATATCTTGCACCACGCAACCAGAAGGAAGCCTCCTACAGTTGACAAAAGTGGGTGCTCCTGAACTTTCTCGGATGCTATCTATGGACACATCCACCACAGCCCAAACCCCTTCTGCATGCTGCTTGCAAAACCTTAGAAAATTCACCTCACGAACCGGCACCAAAGGTGAAAGAACTTGAAGTTCCGCATGCATCTAAACACCAAATTTCAAAGGGTCAAACCAAAACCCAAAAACTCCCCCCCCCCTTCCCTTCATTAAAAAAAAAAAAAAAAGTGCCATAACTACTACATAGACTAAACTTACTAATTGAAGTGCTCCATTCCTTGTCCCGTTTATTCCATTAGATATCACCTCAGTAGTAGAGGTTCTCGCAATGATACAAGGAAACATCTCTGCCCATCGATTCTGTTGGGATAAAAAATGCAATTCACATTCATATACCTTTCTAAGTTGCATCGCATAATATAAAACTTCCATGCAGTATTCTAAGTGTTGTAACCATGTTACTTAAGTAAAATCTCAATTCTGATAAAAGAAAAAAAACAGCACCTGCTCATAATAGTCCATTGCATTTTGAATTTTTCATTATTAGCAAATACTGAAGTAATAAACTTTAATTCTGATCAGAACAATATCTCCATAATACTCAGTTGGATTTTGAATTTTTCATTATTTGCAAACCTATGTGTGCTATTACCGAAGTAAAACTTTAATAACTTTTGTGATTAAGTGTAACATCTTACCGAGTCCATAAGAGTCTCAACAAGTGCCAAACTGTTAATGATGACCATCCCATTCTCCCTAGTGGCCTCACTCACAAACCCATTTGGTCTCAAACCAATGCAAGGAGTGAAACTCCTAACATACTCTTCATGGTTCAAAATCTCCCTCCCCCCTTCAACATTCCTCACCCAAAGAGGCTCCCCAGTCTGTGCCATCTTCACCAACTCATCCATCGCAGCCAAAGCAAGTTCAAGAAACATAGACCTCTCCACCGACCTATCAAAGCCAGCCACAACACCCGTTGGCCTAGCACTCGTTGGAGACACCATAGCCAAAGCATTATTCGACATAGTCATATTCATAGGCATTGCAAAATCTTGTCCCAAAGGCAACGTTGCTCCAAACCCATTATTATTCCCTCCAACGCCAAGTTCCAAACTTGAGTTCGGCAAAGAGGAAACGGGTCGACCCAGAAACTTCCCCGCGAGTGCACACACGCGATCGAGTTCGTCCTTCAAACGCGCGTTTTCAATTCTAAGGTGCTGTTCCTCAAGCGAAATTTCTCCGATGATGGCTGGACCACCGCAATTGGAGCACATGGGGTTCCTCATGGCGTCTCTAATGGACATGTTTTCTGCTCTCAGCTTGTCGTTCTCTTGCCTCAGCAACGTGTTCTCGTGCCGCTCCAGTTGCGTCTGGTTAATTTGTAGTAGTACAATCGTACAAAGAAAAGAAAGAAAAAAAAATTTCATTTGCATCAGAAACCTCAAAAAGAAAGAAAGATGTTTGAAAATGACTTCATGAGAGTTCCAAGCGTGGCACACCTTCATTTGGGTCCTCCGATTTTGGAACCAAAACTTCACTTGTCGAGTTTCCAGGCACAACCTCTTGCTAAGTTCCAACCTTTGCTTCTCATCTGGATGAGGACACTCCTTAAACAACCTAAACCCCATCAAAATAAAATATTTTATTTACTTAATCAAACACACTATACAAGTGGAGATGATAAGAAAATGAATATACGCTTCAAGCTCTTGTATCTGTTGGGGAGTGTGTCGGTGATAGCGTTTTTTCCTGGGAGGGTTGTCGGCGGCGTCGTGTTCATCGCCGGAGGCGCCGTCCATGTTGTCGCTGCCAGATCTGCTTTCATGTTCCTCCTCTCTGCTTCTTCTCAAACCGTTTGGTTCGAAGTTATCCATTCTATTCACATCCTCTTGGCCATCTATATTGGTTTGCTGCTTTTGTTTTTATTGTTTTGCAAAGAGAAAGAAAAAGAAGTGAGAAAACACAGTACAACATAGTACCACAGCACATTGGTTTTTCAAGTAAAGTGACAAGATCTCTCACAAGTGCCAGAGACAGCCCCGGAGAGTTGAACATGGACTTGGCCAAAGTGGGAGTAGTAGTGGTCACGAGGCGTGGCTGAGAGATTGCACCAAAGGGCATTCTATCGTTGTTGTAAGGAATGTCTGAAACGTTTCTGGCACCGCCACTACCTGACTTGTTCTCCAAAAAACCCCCAAAACTCATCAAAGAAGCCACTTTTCTCTTCAACAAAACCACCCCAACAGTCCCAAAACCAAACTAGTCCTTTAAAACCCCTCCAAGTTTTTCTTCCTTCTCATGCACCGATTTGCTTCATCCGTCACAATTGGGCGTTAAGCCACCCCCCCGGAAATTTCAAACCGAAGATTGACTCAAAATATGAAGTGGGTCGGTGGGGAAGAGGCTTATATACTCGATAGAGCGATCAAAGAAGAAACTTTTCAAGGTATGGGGGGAAAAGAATAGAGACAGAGAGATAGAGGAGACAAAAGGATAAAGCCCCAATGTCTCAGCTTTCTCTCCGTAGTGGAGAGCTAAAAAAAATGCTGTCTTTTTCTTTTGTTCTATTATTTGAAGAGAAAGAAAGAGAAAGAAGGGAAGCCCTTTTGTTACAGCTTGCCTCTTCGTTCTCTATCCTTCTCTTAGTAGTGACCCTTTGAGAGTGGCACTTTGTGACACACGGACACGGTTCAGGGGTAGCTTGAGTCCACTGGCTTGGGGTTAAATGGAAAAGAATATAGGAACCCTAATGTCTTTGTGTTGTGAGTGTGTTTTCCTTCTCTGCATGCTCCACTATTGTAATTGTTTATTCTAATCTAAATCATAACTGAAGCTTCATTTCAGTAACTTATATTAATTTATAGGAATTACATGAATTTTTTTTTATAATATGGTAGAGAAAAGGGTTAGGATTTAGGAGTAGGAGAATGAGATGTTTATAGATTTGGACAGAGAGAGGGGGGAAAAGGTGAAGATAAAACGTAACGTGTGGACTATTGGAAGCCTTACAAATAGATGGATCCAAAAAGGGTTGGTTGACTCGTTACTGTGATGGTTTGCACTGTATCCCTATAAAGCCTGTGACTGACTGTGAAAAATGCAAAGTGGCTTTTTGATGACTTTTTGTGGGAGATGAAAGTAAACCAAATTGCAATGATAGGGTGCTTCCATGACTCTTTCACAACCCTTCTTCCCAAACCGTCCTTGGGATTCTCAATAATTGGACTAAGCTTAAGCTTGCCTTTAATCACTCATGCGGGTACAAACATCAAGCCACTTTGCACTTTTTTATTTGCTTTGTTTCTTGTCTTTAATGAATCTCATATTAATTCTCGTAAGAGCTTAGGGTTAATTAAATAACTTCTAATGCATTCTTACAGTTTTACTCATGTATTAAAGAATACAATATGAATTATATTAAATTAAATTTTATAATACATAAATATTTTGTTATATAAATTATATTTAAATTTATGATCAGTAACTTATATTTGAATACAACGTTATTTTTAATTATTCATCATTTCTTTTTTAAAATAATTTTAATTTAAAATTAAAAAAATGATAAACCAATAAGATAAGAAATTCAGAAAAAAAATTTTAAAAAAATATCGTCCAACAAAAACAATTAAAAATACACTAGTTAAAGAATAGTTTCTAAAATAATTGCTATATATGTAATTTTTTTTATAAAAAAAAAAAAGAAAAATTCTAATAATACACTTCCTAGTACACTCTTCTTAAAACACTTTTTTATTGGTTAAAACACATTAGAAATTACAAGATCATGAGATAAATTTTTTAAATTAAGGTGTCAGATCATCAATTTTTTGATTTTCAGTTAATTTTAATTGATTAAAGATATTATATTAAAAAAATGTGTTTATAACATTTTTCTTTTTAAAAGGTATTTTATAACGATAAACAAACATAAATAACTTTTATTTAAGAATCTCTTTTAAAAAAAATACTTGTTTTAAAATATTATTTTTTTATTCCTAAATAGAATCCTGTTATTTTTTTCTTCTATTTCTTTTTTTTCGTCCCTAGAGTATCCACCATTGATAGCAGTGACTAATCTTCTCGCTACGTTGGAGGCACCTCAAAAGATGGGATTTAGCTTGCCCCAAAATTTAACACGACTGCATACACAATGCAGGATTCAAACTTCTGACCTTACTTAAGCGTGGATCAACCCCTATCGCTGAAACAATTTAAATTTTAATCTTATTTCATATCTATTTCTTTCATTTTCATTTATCTATTTTCTGTTTTTATCTACTTTGTTTTTTTTCTTCGTTGGTAAAAGAGAACGTTAGTAAATATATATATATATATATATATATGAGAAATACTTTCTTACTTGTAAAACTTGTCAATACTTTAACTAAATAATAATATAAAGTAGTGTCATTTCAAAAAAAAAATTACATTAATCTACATTTGATCATGTAAAGTGTTATTAGCTTTGTTCTTAATAACTTCATTACTACCAGATGCATTGATATATTCACAAGGAGTTATTATAACTTAATAAATAGTTTAGAGTTAAATGCTTCACGGTAATTATGTTAAAATTTAGGCATAAGTAGACTTTTAGTTCTTAATTTAACATGTGAATAACTTTGGTCCCATAATATTAATTGAATAATTTTGATCCATACATTTAAAAAAAATGGTAATTTTGATTTTAATATTGACTCGCCATCTAATTTTTAACGCTCATAATGAATTTACAATTTTAATAAGTCAAATTTTACTTAATTGAACGATTTATATCACACGTATTCGACAGGACATTATTTATATATTTATTCATTTAGAAGTAAAAATATTTAATATAAATTATTCAATATTTTATTAAAAATATTTTATAAAATATTAAATATTAAATAATTTAATTTAAAAAATGACTAATATGATATCAAAAATAAACCACAAATTAGATGATGGATTAATAATAAGACTAAAGTTGTCATTTTTAAATGTGTGGACCAAAAATATTAAATTAAAGGGACTAAAATTAATCATACATTAAACTAAAAGACAAGTTTTATTAAGTTTAAAAATTAATTTGGAATTCTTGAGCTCATAGGATTGGTAAAACCTAAAGATGACAATTCCATTCGGACTATATGAATACTCACATTCTAGGGTTATTATTAAAGATCTTATTTTATTTTTAAGAGAAAATATATTGCAAAACGTATAAATAAAAAGATAATGAATATGTAATTTTACTGTGAAACAATTTTAAACATATATACTATAGGAATTTATCACATCACAACATCATATTAATGAATAGGATGTGATTAAAAAAAATTATTAAATGTTTATGTAAAAGAGTTTTGTAATGACATTATATGTAATAAATTAAACAAAAATAATAATTCATTTCATACTAAAACTATTAAATCATGCATGTAAAAGATTTTTTTTTCCAATCCGTTGTTTCTAAATATTATTGACAATATTCTTAATTATTTGTATTGTAAAGTGCAATTTTTTAATTAAAATTAAAACTCTATTGATATTAATTACGTTAAATATTTTTAATATAATATATTAAATTGTTGGTTGAATGAATGTATATCATTATATATCGGTAGTTTACCAAAAAAAAAAAACTCTATATATCGGTAGTTAAATGTCAGAAATGTTTAACTGTATAAGGTTGATCAATAAATATCACTAATATTTCAATATCACTAATATTTTAATATGAATAATTCACATGTTAAATGATTATACATAATTTTAAATTATGTATATAAAAAAATTGTCTATATAAATAAATATTTTATTTGAATATATAAATTATATTTAAATTTTAAAATTTTAATAAATAAATATTTCAAATATATAAAATCAACTTTGAATTTAAGGAAGGTGCAAGCAAAAATACATGTATATCGATATCTGGGGAATAAGGGTCCATGCATTACTATTCACGTGTTATGGAAATAATGGAATCAACTATACTAGTATTTTTTTCAAATGAAAATATAAGGTTAAATGTAAATATTTTTTTTATAAAAAAATACAGATAAAGAAACGAGTATTATATGCAATATTTTATTCAGACTCTACTTATTATCATCCTAATAAAATCAAGAAAACTCAAGTTACGCAAAATACCATTAAATTATTTTTTAACTTAAGCTCTGTTATATTAATTTTATAATTCCAATAATATATTTAATCAAACTATTAATGTTTTATGATTTTTTTAACCATAGATGTAGAATGCACCAAGTGTATACAGAATTATACTCTCTTCCAATATCATAGATTATTCATTGTTTTTTTTTTCAATAAACAAAAGAGATTTAAATTAAAAGAGAGTCCAAGAGGAACTCCAACCCGTTATAAGAAACACAGAGACATAATTAGAAATCAAAATCAAAGCAGAAACTATGAGAAACATAAGCTCAGGTTATAATACCAACTAATGTAACTATAAGAACATCTAGGGACAGAACTAGTTATCCACTTCCATGAACGCAGTTTAATGTTATCCAACACTTCCTTACAATCCTTAACACCTTGCTGAAAGATAATCACATTCCAATAAAGTTATAGTGACCAGATAACAGAAACCTAAACTACCAGAATACTGAGAACATTTTTTATAAATACCAAGATTCGTCCAATATAAATAAAAAGAAATTAAAGAATTAGGAAGGACCACCACAACCTCCAATCAATTAGTCACAACTAACCAAGTATTAAAAGTCATAGGGCACATTAGAAAGAGATGAAGAGGGTCTTCAGCAAATAGAGAGCAAAAAGAACATAAATTATTATCCAACACCATACCATGTACTTGTAATAATGATTTGCACGAAAACGCATTCAAAAACACATGCCAACAAAACACCAAGCACTTGATCGGAGCCTTGTTTTTCCAAAAACTTTTTATAATTTGTTGAAAATTCGAAGAATATCTAGGTTCTCCACCCACCAAGCGCTACAACCAAAGGTATGCACTTTTCACCGAGAATACATTGTCCTTATCACAAATCCATCTCTAATAATCTTGTTTAGAAGGGAAAATCTGCAAGTCTTGAAGCATATTCAACAAGGTATTCACACTATTAACTTCATGGACAAAAGGTTCTCTCCTTCACTTAACCTGCCACACCCACGTTAATCCCTCCCAAGTTTCATTATGTGTCACCACTGACATAGATTGTTCATTGTTATGCATATATTAAACTTACTTTTGTCATATTTATTTTAAAATTATATTTAAAATAATTTCTAATCAGGTAATAGTATACAATATATATCGCAAAAAAACTAAACTCATATTTAATATAACTAAACAACTAAATCAATGATTTTTTAAAAATTAAAACAATAATTTTTATATTTATAAAAAAAAAATAACATACGGGGTTACTTTTTTATTCACCATGCTAATTGTTAAGCCGGTTTTCATTCATCCTTATAGATATAAGTTATAATTGAATGTATAATGAAAAAGTTTATGTTCATGAGAACGTGATTCATTATTTCCTTACTTATTTTTTAACGGCATTATTATACCTTGGGGAGGGGGGATTTACATCCATTCATTATGTGCCCACCAAATATATGCTGCCATGAATAACTTTTTTTCCTCGAGTCTAATTGATGATCGAAAATTTCAAAATTTATTAATATTTAAGTAAGCAATTAATTTTATCTCATACTACAAGAAAATTGTCACATAGTGATACACGTCTTATAGTAACACACAATACGTATTACTAAAAAGTACTTTTACCTACACACTAAATACAATATATGTTAGTATATTGTTAAAAAGTATTGGTATAAATTATTGTGATATACAAAATATGTTGTTAAATCATATTTACGATCAACACTTAAATTATGTGCAGTTATATGTCAAATAAATATATACTTACATATATTATATTTATAGTAACATTTTTTTATATGTTAGTGAATGTTACATTTTTTTTAGTGTCACACTTAA